CCTGCTGAAGACAGAACTTTTCATAGAGCCCCAGCACCTGGAATCACATGATTATATAAGACTCTCAGCTTTCATTTTATTATTTTTTTACGTATATTTCCATGCATTCGATTTGTGGGAAAAGCTGTGAAAATGCAACTTCTGGAGCAGTGATTTTCAACCAAAGTGCCGCAGCACCCCGGGGTGCCTTGAGATCTTTCAAGGGTGACACGGGGAACCACACAATGTTAGCACTGTTGGGTTTGTGAACATGATTCATGAGAAAAAGCCAGAGATTTCAAAGGGGATTCATAGCATTAACGCCATTCTGACCTATTGCAGTCGTCCTGAGTTCTCTGCAACACAAGCATCGCTCTGTTATTTTTCCGTAGTCAAAAAACAAGTGCAAAGTAAGAGCTGACATTTTCTGAGGGATGTCTTGAGCCCATGAGGAGTGCCACAAGCCACAGTTGAGAACCACTGCTCTGGACGTTATGAACCCAAAGACAAAAAAAATGCTATGCCGAATCTTGAGATTTTTGGCCAATCCTGTGATTCAGGAGCATAGAGGATCTTACACATAATATTTTAACATCTGGGATCAGAATACCCCAAAGATTGTACACATCCTAAATATTACGCCTCTCAATGCCTTCTTCCATGCGCAACAGATACAAGCGCCAACCTTTGGTGTTGCCTGTGCAAAGCAAGCGGACCTTGCTGCGACAACTCACCAGTAAAACCTGTTTGGTGTGATCCTCTCGTGCATTAGCTGCCATCTTCTCCCAAAATCCATAGAGCTGTACAGCTGAAAGACAGGAAGAAATGAGCAGTAGTATAAATAGCAACAAAGGAGGGGTGACTGCTACCCGAACAGGCACTAAACCCAATTCTGAGCTCCATGAGGTCAGAGTACATTAATAGTGCAGGGATCCACAATGAACTATTAACCTTGCTCCTTGGGAAAGGCAAATAAGATAATATCCTTCTCTCCAATTTTACCCAGACTGAACCTTTGAGGTTCAAAAGAGGTTTATTCAGCCATCTCCCTCCTAATACCCTTTTCACACATCTCTGTACTGCCTGATTTCAGCTGTCAACACATTCACTTGCATTACAGTATGACAAAGCAGGCCGTTCCTATGGCTTTTCCAGCTCTACAGGAAGCTGATGATTGATGACCTATATATTCCTAACTTTAAATTAGATTAAAGGCAAATTAGATTACTTAGCTCAACTATGGAGGTGTACATAGTGACATAGTGTTAAGGTCACATTGTAATTTGCTTTCATAGTGGGGGTTAAACCCCTTTGTTAGGTCTGAAAAAATATGTAATAGCCCCAAATTTGAAAACTTTTAGTCCAGAGTAAAACCCACATTGTCAGAAACGTTAGAAGTCAATTTACACAGCAGTTGGGGTGTTAAAGGCAGTTAAAATGGCTCTTTTTTTTTGAAAGGTCGACTTGAGATCTAATATTTCCTTTGATTCCCTCCAGCTAACAAATGACAGATTTGTAACACATCCAGATTTCCATGTAGCTCCAGTTTAAATCTCACACACAAGCTAGTTTTATAAATATCCTACGCAACATCACAACCTACTCCGTTCCTACCCCGTTCTACAACCACCCACCATCCAATTACTTAAAATCAAACAACACAAGCAACCTTTACTTCAACCTTGAAATATTCAGGTTTCTAGGAAATGCATCTGACTTTGAGAACCGTCTACTCTGCACCGCAGCTGGATCACGGTGGAAGGAATAGCAGGCAGTGATTCAAACAAGGGGGGAAATTATTTTTTAATTCAACAAACTTCGATTTTAGAGAGCGTGCAAAACGAAAAGAACTGCTAGTCAACTGCAGGAAAGGCTAACGACGTAGATATTAGAGAGATGGAGGAAGATTGTATGTTTCTGAGGTCAAAATTGTAGCTCTTTAATGGAAAAATGATAAGGCTGGTGTGAAGGTGGTGCATTTGATTCTATTTCAAGTAAATGGATTTATGGATTGTGGGCAAGTCCAGGTTTCTGTTGAAAGGGATTAGGTCCTGGTGACTGATGGCTCACATGTACTACTGCGTGTGATGATGAAGATAAGCATACAGGGTTGGACTAGATGTTTCCTTAGAGAATTATTTCCTAGGTGTACTAGGCCAAATCTGATAGCTTTGCACTGAGTAGTCCCGCTGATTTGCTCAGCTTAAGGCTGGCAGAGTCGGTCCTTTGGGTTTATGCTGACGGAAAAGGCACTTAATCGAACTCGATTGGCAGTGCGCGGAGTTTGCTGGGAGAAAAGATCAATGCAGCCATACGCCGAACATTTAAACAAAGATACGGTAGTTTGGGCATGCTCAAGTTCAACCTTATGTCAGCTGGATGAAGAAAATTTTTACTGGGTAATATTCAGTGACCTGTGTTAGGGAGGAGGTCAAACTACATCATCACAGGGATCCTTCCTTGCCTTAAAAGCTCTGAATCAACTAAAGGATAGATTTGATACATCTTTCAACATCCAAGGACCACCGTGATGATGAGAGTCTCCAATGATTTAGCTGTTCCTTCTAGTCCCTAATTACTTGCTAACTGAGACGAGATGCTCTTGTCAAATCACTGACTTCAGAAAAATGCTTCCACTAGTATATAGTGGCCAAAGTCTTCGTGTAAAGTCTTACTATGTTTATTTGAACTTAACATTCAAGCTTTTACTGGTCCCCCATCCCTCCTGTTCTCCAGTAAAGCCAGAAAAGAAACTCCCGAGCCAAACGAAAATCTTAATTGATGCAGAATAATGTATTGCCCATCTATTTTTTAATTAAACGGGTGGTGACAAGAAATTTCCTTATGCAAATTCCACGACAGGCTTGTGCAGGCAGCATCAATATTGAGATAATTATCTTCCGGGAGAACATCCTCATTAACAAAAAAAAGCCCTCAAAATCGGCAGCACAAATTCCTCATCCTTGTTCGTATTGAGACAGCACTTCCCGTTTAAAACATGGTAGCACGCCACTCGGCTTTATCTATGCCAGGGCTGTCACGCAGGCTGGCATCTCATAAGGCAAGTCAAATTGCTTGATCACCCCAGTCATTTCCGGATTACTTTTATCAAAGGCACGCCAGCCAAACCAAGGTGCTGCTGCAAATCACTGACGTTGGGAAGATGCTTCCAGCTGAACCCCAGTGCTCAGGAGGAACCAAAAGTCCTAATGTTTTTACTCTACTTCCATTTTGATTGCTGTGTATCATGTCCCATTCCAGCTATTAAGGGAGAAGGATTAGCACCTGCCTTGATTTCCTTGATGGGTTTTATTGCCTTCCCCCCCGCCAAGAATTTTATTTTTCTTTTATAGGTCCAGAGCTACCTCAGGTATGCACAACTCAATGGCACTTAGCACTTCTCGTTCCAGCCTCTCATCTGCCCTACGGCGACTCGTCTAACGAACATCCTTCCCTCTATCAAGTTAAGAGCTGGAGACCAACTGCTGAGTATTTTTTTGTTCACCTTTCTATTAGATCTTGGGTTGACTGATGGTAGAAGGATTAAATTGAACTTGCAGCCTTTAGGCAAATTCAGATAAAGAGAAAAGAAGGATATTATGCATGGTGGGGGTGAATACATTATTTATTTATTCATCTCTTTCTTTTCAGCATCCAACTTGAGTTTTAACTGAGAGCAAATGATTGAGACTAAAAATTGGAGGGTTGTAGAGCAGAACTCATCATTTTGGCCTAGTTCACGTCACCACAGCTTATATGCCCTTATTTACTGACCCAAAAAGAAAGGCTAATGTTAAATTATCAAATAAAAAACACACAATAAAATACAGGTTTTTGCCAACATAAAAATGGCGCTTGCATGTGCTGTCCCTTCAACCTGCTCACAAGCTCAGAGCTCTAATGTAAGAGGGGATGGCAAATGCAGTGGTAAAGTCAACAGATTACAATCAAGATTAATTTGCCCTGAGGTTCAACATGGATCAACAGACAGGAACTAGATTCATTCGGTGCAAACTTATTTTTTAAAATAAAAGTTCTAGAAAGTCTCTCTAAATTAGTAATATTTGGCCTTTCAACCTGCCCCTTCATCCAAAGAGCTTAACTCAATTTAGAGATAACGATTCTATCACAGAGTATTTCAAGTCTTGACATCTCTCTCCAACCCAGCTTTGCAAAGCACATGTTTAGCTTTAAGGGCTTTGCTAAATAAAAAGGGACTCGAGCGTGCATCTAAAAGACACGTCTAAACGGGGCCCAGTAAGGCGAAATGGCCTGACACACATTTTGAAGCAGAGCCTGGAGCCCAGGCCATGAACCTTGACTCCCAATCACATGTTAATCCAGGTTTTAAATACAAGCAAATTCAGTATCCACCAACGTAAAGATTCAGTATACACCAAAGTAAAGATTTGCATAGTGCTCATTAACCCCCTTTTGAGAATGGGAACCGCAGGTGGGTGCCGACCACTTAGGAAAATCCAGCCACTTCATTTACATGCTGAATTAGAAGCTGAGCTTTAAAAAAAATAATAAATGAGTTCCTCTGCCAAGAGACTACCCAGTGCATGCACAGCAGTGTCCAGTACACGATACAGCATGGTCACACCTAGAAGCATGCAGTATTTGATATGCAGAAATCCCAGTACTAGACACATTGTGCCTAACAATCCCCAGCTGCAATTGCCAAGCCAGGCCTGAAAAACCTCCAAGGATGGAGAGTCCACAACCTCCCTGAGTGACCTGTTCCAGTCTTTTACTACTCTCCTAATAAGAAAGTTCTTCCTAATATCCAACCTCAACTTCCCTTGCTGCAGCCTGAGCCCATTGCTCCTTGTCCTGTCATCTGCCCCCACTGAGGACAGTCCAGCTCCATCCTCTTTGCAAACCCCCTGCAGGGAGCTGAAGGCCGCTATTAAATCCGTCCTCGGTCTTCTCTTCTGCAGACTAAATCAGCCCAGTTCATCATTTCATAGTTGGTCGGGTCGGAAGGGACCTGAGCAGATCATCAAGTCTGACCCCCTGCCACTGCAGGAAAAAGTACTGAGGTCAAACGACCCCAACAAGATGTTCATCTAGCCTCCTCTTAAAGACCCCCAGGGTAGGAGCCAGCACCATTTTTCTTGGAAGTTGGTTCCAGGTCCTAGCCGCCCTGATTGTGAAGTAGCGCCTCCTGATGTCTAGCCTGAACCCCCTCTCCATCAACTTATGGCTGTGGTTCCTTGTCACTCCCGGTAGTGCTTGGGGGAACAGGGATGCTCCCACTGCCCGCTGGTCCCCCTTGGCCAGTTCATAGATGGCCACCAGGTCCCCACTCAGCCTCCTCTTGTGGAGGCTGAACAGGTTCAGGTCCCGTAGCCTCTCCTTTGTAGGGCCTGTCCTGCTGCCCCCTGATCATGCGGGTGGCCTCCTCTGGACCCTCTCCATGCTGCCCACATCCCTCTTGAAGTGCAGCGCCCAGAACTGGACGCAGTACTCCAACTGCAGTCTGACCAGTGTGGCATAGAGGGGAGGATCACCTCCTCGGACCTGCTCGAGATGCATCTATGGATGCACGACAAGGTGCGGTTGGCCTTCCTGACCGCGTCCCCACACTGTCAGCCCATGTTCATTTTGGCATCAATAATGACCCCAAGATCCTTTTCTGCCTCTGCACTGACGAGAAGGAAGTTCCCCAGCCTGTAGGTCTATTGCTGGTTCTTCCTCCCCAGGTGCAGCACCTTGCACTGGTCAGCGTTGAAACCCATCCTGTTCTCATCCACCCACCCCTGTAGCCTGTCCAGGTCCGATTGCAGCCTATTCCTCCCTTCT